GGAAAATCGCTGCGGCTCCTCGGCCCAGTAGGAATAGGTTTCTTCTACTCAGTCACCAGCTGGGAGCAGCCCTAAGAAGGCATGGCAGGGGCTAGATCTCACAATCAACAGGTGGGGCAGGGTCTGCCCTGGAAGATCTGGGAAGTGGCTTTCCTTGGCCATGGTGGTAATAGTATTCCCATTGACACACACGGAAAACACAATTCTGAGAGTTCAGTAATCTAACAGGCTCAACCATTAGAATGCAAGCCGGGTGGACTCCCAAACCCTCATTTTCCCCTTCCCCTGGGCATTCCGGCCTCCCAGTTGATGCCAGTAAGTGTCTGGGTAGGGGATTCAGCTGAGAAACTGCTCAGGGCTTGATAAGATTGTGTGTTAAAAATAGTGGCAAACTGTTACTCCCATTGAGAAGTGGGGCTTCTACCGTGTTCCTTTGAATTTGGACTGAATTTAGTGATTAGAATACAATGTATCCTGGAACTTTTGAGAACTGCTCATCAAGGCTTTGCAACTTCTGCCTTCTCCACTGGAAATGACCAGGGTTCACCCTGGGAACCCAAAGCCTCTGCCAAGTCCAGTTACCTCCATGCGGGAGAGAACATAAGAAGGCAGGGAGATACTCTGCAGGAAAAAAGATGCCTTGCTGTCCCCAGACATTTTGATCATGTCCCCAAACTTAGGGTCTTTGCCCTGCCCTGCTTGAAATTTAAAATAAAAGATTGTTGTTCTAAGCTTCTAAGTTCTAGCATAGTGTGTCACTCAATTTTGGATAACTAGAGCAGATTTGGAGGACAGAACTGAGCCCATGATTTGGTCAGTGACAGTGTCTGGCCACTCCCAGCTCTATTCAGTTGCAGCTACCTAAGGTCTATGAGCAACAGCCCCAGAGAACCAGGCCCGTGATTGAATTGAATAGTGGTGGGGTGTGGGATGGGTGGCGTCAGTTCTTCCAAGTTGTGACAACTGGATGGCCCTCAGATGTCACCCACCATTGGACATTTTTTCCCTATCCCCGTATCCCGGCTGCAGTCATGTGTTATACCAGAAACAAGACACACAACCACCTGATAGAGTAGGTACAAGATATCTCCTGGGTTAGAAATCCTTTTCAGAAACTCCTCAGCTGAAATGTATTTTTCAAGTCTGGGTTCATGGTTTGTTACTCCCCTCCTAGCCAAGACAAGAGACATCATAGGACCTCAATGAACAATGTCTGGGGAAAGCAAGGCATCTTTTGTATCTTTCTCATACAAGCTGAGAGAGATGAGCTGTGAAGCAGGTTTGCAAGGCAACACTCTTGCTGTCAACTTGCTATTTATTAGCAATAACAGTTGAGTGTGATTAGTTAACAAGAGCAGAAGGAACAGGGCCCAGGGTAATAATTTGGGGAACCATAGGAGACATGTTGACCAGGTACACATACAGAGAGGGCTGTCTGGAGTTGCTAGTGTCCTTTTCTCCAAGAAAACCTACTCGTTAACCTACACTAGAATTAGTGTAGAATTAGTCCCAAACCCTTTAATGACAGGTGACTGGTACATCCCTCAAGGATCTAGCTGGCATATGTGTGTATGAAACCTAAAAGAAAAAAAACTACATTATAAGAATGAGGATCCTTGGCTATTATTAAAAGAGACCAAGTATAGGCCCTCCCTGGTGGCGCAGCGGGTTAAAGCACAGCACTAAGAAGCTAAAGCCACTTCCTCATGAGTTCGATTCCTGCTTGCCCTGGAGGTGACCACATGGCGCGGCAGACCTCTCCT